AACGCAAGCAACAACCATTAACATGCTTGTGGACATTGTTCCACCTCTCTTGTACACCAAGGCTCTCCTTTGACTTACCTCTTATAAATTTGTATACAAAAATTGACTTCTTTAGAGTTTGTTTTTCCAAAACACAACTCAAACTTGGATTTTACATATTTTCTACTAAAGGAGACGTTAATTGAGTAATGAATGACCTTATAAGCTTTAAGCAAAGTATTGCTTGTTGGAGTTTCATCATACTTACTCCTCATGCATAAGTTAATAAAAGTTTCGTGGCAGGAACAGACACATGCATTTATGTTAGGGAACACAAACTTAAGAAGTTATATTAAAAATTGTTGGAGGTGTAAAAGTAGATAATCAATAGAAAATATAAAAAAACCCCTAAAATATAAGGAAATTTAAAATTTCTAGTGATCCATCCCTACTTCACAGTGGACCCAACTCTAAAGGAAATTAATGCTCAAGATTCAAAGTTATTAAAGCGATAACAAAAAAATAGTTAGAACGAAAATCTTTAATATCTATTTTATTTATATGTTTAATTATCCAAACAATTAAACTTGTGAAATTCAACTAAAATTTAAAAAATTTAAAATGGTTGACATTGGTTTAAAATATATGAGATAATCCCACTATTTAGGGATTTAAAATCAGGTAATCGTTCAGGTTTCAGTCGAATCTTGTCAGGTCAGGTCAAATTGGATGTAGGTTGTGTCAGGTTAATTTTTATGGTTTGACTCGGATCAGGTCGGGTTGGATCAAATTAGTTCGGGTCATTTTTAGGTTGATTTAACATCAGATTTAATTCAAGTTCTGATCAGGTTAATTTTAGTAAATCTATGTCAGATCACGTCAAAACAATTCAGGTTCAAATCAGTTAAATTCCAAGTTAATTCAGGTTTGGATGGACTTCATATGGATCTCGTTCAGATCGAGTCACATCATTGACAGATAAAATTCAGTTCGAATATTACTGGGTACAGATTGAGTTCAGGTCGGGTCATTTTTGGGTTAATTATTTTTCGCCATTCATGAACGACAAATTATAATTTATAATTGTATATAATTTGGAGTAAATTAAAAAATATAAATAATTATGGGTCAATTTTAATAAAAATTATAATTTTAAGGAAAAAATTGAACAAACATGAAATTACAAATTGAAATTTAAATAAATTAAACAACACACATGGATGAGGGATCAAATCGAAATAATTATAAATTTTTAATTTGAAATTAATATAAAAATGGACTCATTTTAATCCATTTAAAAAGTTAGTGAACAAAACTTTATAAGGTTTGGATATTATAGTATAACTTTGAGGATTAACTTGATTAAACAAGAAATTAAAAAATATAATTTAAATAAAATAAACAACATGCAAGAATCAACTTAAAACAACTATAATATATGTATGATAAGTATTATGATACATGTATAAATAATGTACATAACACTTATACATCCATTATACTTATAATATATATATATGATGTATGTATATACTTATGTGTATGTATACATATATATATATATGTATGTATGTATATATGTATGTATGTATATATATATATATATATATATATATATGTAATTATATATGATCAATGGTTCATGTATGTACGTTATACATATAAGTATATCATGTATATATATCACATATGTATGTGTGTGTGTATATATATGATATACACATAAGTATATATAAGTATATACATAAGTATATATATATAAGTACATATATAAGTATATATATAAATATATAAATAAGTATATGTAAGTATATAATTAAACATGAGCGACTAAAATAAAAGATTCTAAAATTAACATTCACATTTAATAATTATGCACATTAAAGAAAGAATTGAAAATTAAAAGTAATTAGAATGTATACAGGAGTAAATTGTATTGAATTGAAAATTCAAGAAGATATATACAATTAAACCATGACTAAAATGAAAGAAATCAAAAACCAAATTACAAAGTAGAAAAATAATAATTATTTGAGGAATGCGACCTAATTAACCTAAAAAATCTTATTGGACACTGAAGATAGGCGCCAACTTCTTAAATTTGCCAAAATTTAAAATAATGAATTTGGCACGAACCGAGTGGTCTCCGTAGTAAATGAATGATTATCATTCCTTGAACTCGAGTTCGAACACCATGAACGTCAGGGTTGTGAGTTTTCAATGTTAAAGGGTTTAGAGTTATCTTAGAAAAGATATTGTCTTGTACTTACCTCAGATTAATAAAAAATTCTAAATTTCCTAAAAAAAATCTTTATTTTAAAAAGTTTTCTCCCCCACTCATTTGGATATATATATATATATATATATATATATATATATATCAATCTCAAGTAAATTCATCTTATATGTATATTTAAAAATTTTAAATTAAATTATATTTAAATTATTAATTAATTATTACATGAAAAATAAATTAAACTTATAAATATTTAAATTAACTTTATATAATCTAATAAAATCATATTCAGTAAATAAATTATTTAATGAAATTAATTTAATAATTATAATTAAGATTTATAATATAAGGATTATAATTAATATAGAAAGTAAATTTATTAATTTAATTATCATAAATAACAATTTATTTTAACTTTTAAAAAGTAATCATATTATTATCATAGTTTATTATAAATTCAAAATCTCACAACTTCATCAATTGTAACTTACAAGTCAGATAAATATCAGATCATGTCAATAACAAGTCGAATTATTTACATGTTGAGTCAATTATAGGTCAAGTTCATAACATGTCAGGTTGATAACAAGTTCATAACATGTCAGGTTGATAACAAGTCGGGTAATACCAATTATTTACCATGTTAATCTCAGGCTCGGGTTCATCTCAATCGGATGCAAGTTGGGTTCGATTATTATATTATCGATTTAATTCAGGTTCGGGTCATTCTCAGATCGGGTGGTAGTCGGGTTTAGATCCACAATTTCTAGGTCCAACTCTGGTTCAGATCAACACCAGTTCGAAGTAGAATCGGTTTCGGATCACGACCACTCAGGTCACAAACTATTTTGACTCGAGTTAATTTTAGTCAGTTTTGCATGTCGAGTCAACTTTTTACATCCTACCGTTATATCTACTTTCTTAAATAATATTTTATTTAAATGTTTATGTTAATTTTTAGACAGATTTATCCTTTAGGTTTATAGCTTTTGATATCTTAATTTTTTAAAACCACATAAAATATTAAATTAAAAAAAACTGAATCACGAATCGGACATATATGGATATATAATATATGGCTTAAATATATCATTGTCCTTTAAACTATACATTTTATATTGAGTTGTCTCTTAATGTATTTTTGTACATTTTATCCCTTAAAATTTAAATCATTATCTCATTTGTCCAAATCGTTAACCTCGTTAAAAACATATCATCCGTTTTTTTTTCAAAATCAAAACTAAACTTAAGTTTTTATTTTGTTTTGATCACTCAATCCGATTTAATTTATTTTTAAAATTTTTTATATATAATAATTTATTTGTTCTTATAGAAACCACTAATTTTATTCAAAATAGGAAATATATCATATTACAATGAAGATTTGCAATCATAATCGTAAATTAAGCATATAATTATGAATATTTTCCTATAAACATTGAAACAAAATTAGCAACTTAAGATCACATAAAGATCATATAAGGAAAATTTAAAACCTAGCCAAAAAACTCGAACAAAGATAGACACAAGCAAATTTGATCACATCGGCAAACAAACCACAAAAGGGAATCAAGGTATTGAAAGACCACTGACAAAACACAAATAAGACTTAAGCGAATGAAAAGCTATACACGAATGCATAATGGGTATCTAAATCCAATCTTAGGGTTAAAACAGGAAAGATCAACAATATAACAGATAATCATCTTGATCAGTTGTGATGATGTCAAATCAATCTTTAGAAAATGATAAGTAATAACAACGGTCAGACGAACAAAAAAGTGCAAAAGGCAAAAGAAAAGTGTTATAAAGGCAGATGAAAATGTTTTATACAAGCAGACTTATTGAAAATTTAAAAAAGAAAAAGAAAAAATAGAGATGTGATATAAGAAAAAAAAGACAATAAAAAATAGTGGCAGTCGAAAATCAATATTAAAGTTAATACCACCGTCGGTCAATAAAGATAAAAAAAGAAAATGAATGAACAACATATCAATGAGAGAAAATTAAGAGAGAGAAAAATGATACCATGCTATTGTCACTCTTTTCATATAAAAATTTATTTATATCAAATTTATTTTTACTTGGTACATAAATTTAATTTATAATAATAAATAATTTTATAACATAAATAATAAATAACATATTAAATTGTCTATACTTAAATTTTGATAAAAGAAATATTAAATATTAAACTATTATAAATATTTGTAAGAAACAAAATAATAATAATGAGCCGTTCATAAATATTTGAATAAATTACGCGTTTAGTAATTAAACTATTAATTTTAATTTATTTTAGTACCCATGTTCAAAATTTAACGTTAATTTTTGAAAAGAATTAAAAGCTTAAGTACTCAAACAGACTAAAATTGATAGTTTAGGTGCTAAACACGTTAAGTTTTTAACAATATAGTACTAAAATGAAATAAAAAACTAAACGTTAGGTATGATTTTGAAAAATTAAAAGTTTAGGTATTGAAACGGAGCAAAACTAATAATTTAAGTACTAAATGCGTAGTTTAACCTAAAATATTTAAGAAATAATATTTTTCTTGTGCCAATATTTGACTATTTCTAGGATTGAAGCTGAAAAAATCTTGGCAATTGTTGCTTTCTTTTCCATATATTCTATGTTGGTTCATTTTCACATTAGAAATAAGAAAAGAACAGAAAGCATACACAAAATTATATACGCACTTGCGTATGGAGGAAAAGCAATTGCAGCACCAAATTCTCAAGAAGCTTATCAGCCTCTGAAATGCAGCTATAAAAGATAGATGTATGCATAGAACAAGCCAATTTATTTTGTGAAGCATCTACAGCATAAGCTTACTAATTACCACACAAACTTATTCAGTCTTGGTTGAAAAACCATCTACAATACTGCAGTAAAAGGTGAATGTAAAAAAGACGAGGTGGAGAATTAAGCTTAAGCATCGTCAAGAGCAAGGACTCCAGGTAGTTGTTTTCCTTCAAGAAGCTCTAAGCTAGCACCACCGCCTGTCGAGATGTGGCTCATCTTCTCAGCAAGCCCAACCTTCTCCACTGCTGCAACAGAGTCGCCTCCTCCGATGATTGTTGTCACTCCCTTGGCACTCAACTCCGCAAGTTTCTTAGCAATCGCCTGCAAAGATGATAGTATAAGAACAAATTGTTTGCAATGGAAGTTTCAAGTATTTAAACCCCAAAAAAGGAAATTTTACTTTCAAGCTTAATAATGCAATGGAATTTTCCTTAGAATCTACTACTCAGAAAACAATGGTATATAATGCCGACAAAATATTTGGCAAAAATGACCAAAGCAAGACTTAATTGCGCATAATGATCGTGCAGTTTACCTCCGTGCCTGCAGCAAACTTGTCGAACTCAAAGACACCCATTGGTCCATTCCAAATAATAGTTTGTGTGGTGTCTAAAGACTCACTGAAGGTTTTTATGGAGTCAGGTCCAATATCCAAACCCATCCAACCATCTGGGATCTGAGATGCTGGCACAACCTGCAAAAATGTAGACACAAGTCCCAGGCCGAAACAAATTCAAATACCGGATCAACAGAAAAGGAGCTGATGCAGCAATTCTTGTTGGTAATATTCAATCCCATATAGTATTGGAAACACTATTGGGAATAGGTATTTAAGGTTTGGATTTCCCACTTCCTTATTGAGTGATAGAGAACAAGAAAGACTTTCGCGCACCACCGCCGTGGTCGTGGTCATACATGTCTTCGACACATCCGCGTGAATACTATCTTTTTAGAAAAAATTCTTAAAGAATTTCTCTTTATTTCTAAGAGAGTGGTTTTACCAGGACACAGTTTACGAACTTTTACATTATTGTTTATCTTAACGGTGTGATTTTGCAAATTCTATTTTACCAACAATTCTATTGCCTGGTATCCTACTAACATATACTAGATGTGAAACTAATGTACTCTGCTTAACGAGTTGGGGAAGGGCAGAGAAAATAGAGAGAAAGAACATTATTTATTCGGGTGGGGTAACTAATGTACTCTGCTTAACGAGTTGGGGAAGGGCACAGAGAAAATAGAGAGAAAATTATTTATTCGGGTGGGGTAGAACTCTAAAATCAAGTCTCCGTACAGCATGGACCACATAGGTCAAACGTGGCTATTTGACTGACACACTTTTTCTCTAATATTTTATTTATCAATATTTTTTAAAGTAGCACACTTTCTGTTGAAGTAGCAAAAGACGTATCTCGAGGATGCATTTTATTTGAATTTTAGTTGAATTAGATGCCACGAGGATAAGACGTATCTCCGAAGACGCGCTTTATAAAACATGTAAAAAAATAAAGTGCTAATTTTATAAATAATATTAAAATGATACCTAATATGTAATTAACTTCTGTTAGTGTGATATTTATGTAAAAATGTTAATTTTATTTATTTATTATTTGTGTGTGCATCCATGCCAGATTCTGTTGGATGTCTAAAGTACACTATTCACCGGTGATACTTCTCATTCTATAACCTTAGAATAAAATTTACTTTTTCCCCCTTAATTTCGACTGACCTAACTAACACACTTTTTCCCTAATATTCCCACCAATAAAAAAAGTTTACTTTTAAAAAAAAATATTATCCCTTAATTATATATTAGGCATCATTTTAATATTATTTACAAAATTAACACCTACTTTTTTTACAGGTTTTGTAAAACGCGTCCCCGAGATAAGCCTTACCCACGTGACATCTGATTCAAATAAAACCCATGTAAAGCGCGTCCCCGGGATGCGCCTTTTGTCACTTCAACAGAAAATGTACTACTTCGAAAAATATTAATCAAATAGTATCAGAAAGGAAATATTAAAGAAAATTGGTGTCTTTATGTCAAATCTCGTGTCAAACGTAGTACAGATAAGCAACATAACAAACCTTGCTGTTAGCATCTGCAGCAAACTTGTCAGCAATAACGACATCAGTAGGAAGCAAGAGGGACATCCCTTTTGCCTTGGCCTTCTCAAGAAGTGATGTTGCTAGATCAAGTTCGTCTTCCTCGACAAGTGATGATCCAACTGAATATTTCTGGGCCTTGTAGAAAGTAAAGATCATTCCTCCACCCAGTAAGAGAATGTCAACCTTGGCCAAGAGTGATTCAATCACCCCAATCTTGGTTGATACCTTAGCACCACCGACAATTGCAGCAAATGGCTTTTTGGGATTCGCCACGGCTCCAACTAGATAATCAAGCTCCTAAAAAAGAAAAAGAATTTGACATGTATTAGATACAAAACAGAAATCTCCAACATATAACTATTGCATTTTCTTATCTAGATGATTTGAAAAAAAAATCATGACAAGTATCGGAGGATACATTTCAGTTAGGAACAGGCCAGAGACCACCTAAGAGGGTACTTATCAGATCTTAAAACAAACAAGCCGTGATATAAAATTAGCTTGACACCACTTTCCAATAAGCAATATAACAGACAAATCCTAAACCAAACTGCTAAATTATACATATAATGCTTTAAATTCAGACTTATGATATTCAAATTACCTTCTGCATAAGAAAACCCGCAACAGAAGGCTTTAAGAACTTAGCCACACCCTCGGTGGAAGCATGAGCCCTGTGAGCAGTGCCAAATGCATCATTAACATAGACATCAGCTAGAGAAGCTAGCTTCTTTGCAAACTCAGGATCATTCTTCTCTTCCTCCTTGTAGAATCTCACATTCTCAAGAAGCAATACACCTCCATCTGGTAATTCAGCCACCAATTTTTCAACTTGAGCGCCAATACAGTCATTTGCCATCTTAACCTATCACAAGTTAAATAAAAATGCATAAGTAGAAGGGGGGTCAAGCAAACAACAATAAAATGGCGAAGGTGTTAGTTCTTAAAGGACAGACCTCGACTCCAAGGAGTTCAGATAGCCTTGGAACAAGAGGCTTCAGGCTGTACTTAGGAGTGACACCCTTTGGACGTCCCTGAAAAAGCAACCATAAACTTACTATGAGAATTCAATCTGAGAAAGAAATGATGGGGAGAAAAAGGTTGATTAGGAAAAGATGAAAGCAAGAAAGCCTGCAGAATGGCCCATGTATTATTTCCATGATGGCATGATCCTTAGATGTGCAACATCTATCAAAACAGATTACTGCCAACCATATGTTATCATGCCCCAAGACAACTTCCAAGAAGCTCAAAATCACTCCAAGCCCTCCACACCCTATCCCTCCTAATAATCCTAGCAAATCAAAGGATGCAAAAGAGATAGCTGTAACATGCTTAGCAAAAAAGAAAAGAAGTAAAGTTTGGTGACATTAAGTGCCAGCCTCCATTCAATGCAATCTCAGTTTACTTTAAAAAACCACACAACCACCCTAATGAATTCACTAGCCCTGAAATGGACGTTTTGTTCCGTGTCTTAAGCCACCTAAAAGGATAGTAAAACAAGCTAAATATGAAAAGGAATATCTTATCTCGCAATAAAAAGAGGTTTAAACATGAATCCAAGTAATTCAGCTCAATACAGGTAAATCAAAACTAATAAAACATGACATAAAAAATGCAAATAAGCCCAAAAATCAAGTGAGGTAAAACAGGTAAACACTTATTTTAATTAAAAATAATGATAATAAAATCTGGAGTAAAGAGAAGTACCAAGTGACTGGAGAGGATGACTTTAGAGCCATGACCCATCAAATACTTGATGGTGGGAACAGCAGCACGGACTCTAGTGTCATCAGTTATGTTGAAGTTATCATCCAATGGAACGTTCAGATCAACTCTTACAAAAACTCTTTTGCCCATCAAATAGGCTTCCTTCAATGCCTCGACGCTCTTCTTTGGACCCATTGAATTAACCAGAATGCAATATGAAGAAATGATAAAGACCCAAATGGAGAGATCAAATGATGAAATGAAACTGTTAACGTATAAAGAGAGACAGGATACGAAGACGAAGGAAGCGGAGAGATGAGGAAAGAAGTGAAGGCTTTTAAAAGGAAAAGGGGAAAGGGAAGAAGAAGATTCGGACAATTTTATTATTCGGTTTCCTTGCTCTTTGTTATTCCCGTGGGCTAAATACACAGATTAACTGCACCCGGTTTTGCAGTTTTACTTTCCGAAGCTAAAACATTTAGCGAATCATTGTACTATATGCTCAAAAAGGGTAAAATTCACAAAATGGTCCCCTAGGATTGTTATTTTATTAGTTTCTCAACTATTAAAAGTTAAAAAATAGTCCCTAACTATAGGATGCTAATTTTTTGAGTCCCTTGACTATTAAAAGTTTCAAAATGGTCATCCAGCTATTCATATATTTCAAACTCATTATTTTTTGTTAAAAACTAATGATTGCTTGAGTTGAACGCTAACTTGCTGATTGAGATATGATAAAATTATATTTTAATAATGTCTGTAACACTCATCTCACGTATGCCCTTCTGTACACGTGATATGGATGTCACGTTACTTTAATCAAAAAAATATGTCATATGAAAACCCGTTAAATTTTGTTTCAATTTGATAAACCACAAAATATAATATTTTTGAAAGCAACATACTCAAATCTTCACTTTATTACATTACAAAATTATTTACCATAGTTTAATTACATGCCAACTAAATTCTTAAATTGAATAAGATTATCCTATCGTTACTGATGAGAGTCAACCTTAACTAATGATACCCACTGATATTGTTGCACTCCTTACTCAATTTATCTCCACTTTTACCTACACGTGGAAACAACACACTATAAGTATTTACTTAATGAGACATAATATTATAAAATAACCTTTGTGTATACATAAGTATGTTCTTTTTATTTAATTTGTACTAAAGCGTATATTCCTTAAGGATTCTATGACCCTCCTCATCTAGACTGTATTCCATTTACAATTATCTTAAGTATTTTAGTATGCCTAGCATACCTATCTTCCTCTATATTTTTCTTCTCCATTTATCTCTTTAATCCTAAACCTTTATTTTCATTGACAACATCTCATCATGCTTATAAAACACGATTAAACCATTTCCACTATGATATCCTTTCTTGCTTTCATACACTATTATACATTTCATTTATGGAATTCTTCCATACCCATTAAAATTCCTTTATTCTCCTACTCAATAGTGTTTAACCCTTTATCTAACTGGCATAATTGACACCTTTCTTCCAATTGCACAGTTAGACCATTATTCTTTTACTCAACGGTACTTAACCGTTCTTCTAACTGGCATTATTGACACTTTTCTCTCAATTGCACAACTAGACCATTACATCTTTTATTTTGGAATAGTTTATATGCTAATACTTATGTTTAATATCAATTAACTCTTTTATTTTATTATAAACCTTATACATTCGCACCCTTGGTGCTCACATGGTAATTTACCAACTTCTTATTTCTGTTCATTTATTAAGATGCACATGTAGTGCTTATATCGTTATTCCTCAACCATTTTAATAATATGTGGTTGGCATACCCATTACCAATATAAAGATCCATTTCCTTATTATGTAGTTCTTATGTGTATACCCTTATGTTTCCCATACAGAAACTCATACACATAGTATCAATTTCTTTTCCTTTAGCACCAAAAATATCCATTATTGAAATTCATACACTTAGTATGATTTCTTAACATTTTAGCGTACGAAACACCCTATCTGAAATTCATACACTTAGTATTATTTCTTAACATTTTAGAGTACGAAACGCCCTATTTGAAAGTAAAAAATGCCCTATCTGAAATTCATACACTTAGTATAATTTCTTAACATTTTAGCGTACGAAACGCCCTATCTGAAATTCATACACATAGTATGATTTCTTAACATTTTAGCTTACGAAACACTCTATTTGAAATTCATACACTTAGTATGGTTTCTTAATATTTTAGCGTACGAAACATCCTATTTGAAATTCATACACTTAGTATGATTTCTTAACGTTTTAGCGTACGAAACGACATATCTGAAATTCATACACTTAGTATGATTTCTTAACATTTTAGCGTACGAAACACCCTATTTGAAATTCATACACTTAGTATGATTTCTTAACATTTTAGCATACGAAATGCCCTATCTGAAATTCATACACTTAGTATGATTTCTTAACATTTTAGCGTACGAAACGCCCTATCTGAAATTCAAACACTTAGTATGATTTCTTATATTTTGCACACTTAGTGCCCTTTGGAAATCACCAATTTACATTAATAAGTCATACAAATAATACATACATATTTAAATGTACTCACCTGGCTCGCCTTGCTTAGATATCCAAACTGAGAAAATAATTATTCCGGAACTTGGCCCTTGCCTTTCGACTTACTCAACCCAGTAGCTTGTTTTCGATTTATTCCATATTAATTAAACACATGCATAATATCAATTGTTAGTAGGTTTCCTAACAATTATAACTTAGCATTAATCAAAATATTTATTATTAACTTTCTACCATATTATCAGCCCCAACTTAACATTTCTGGTCCTTTGGTATCGATACCCCTTTTATGGTATCAATACTACCCTATTATGGTATCGATATCCCCTTAATGTATCAATACCGAAATTATCTTCGATATAGCCTCGTATCGATACCCTCACCATGGTATCGATACCCCTATGCTATGGTACCGATACACCCTTTAGGTATCGATACCCAATTTAGATTCAATATTTTAACTAGTATCAATACCCTTACCATGGTATTGATACCCTATATCTTGGGTACCAATACTGGTTAAATAAGTATCGATAACTCTTATATAGTTTAGCCTAATTCTTGCCTATGGTATCGGTACTGTTCTATGGGGTACCGATACCCCTGTCTATATTTACCCCATTCAATACGATTGAACTCTTCCTTAACTATCTATATTAACATTCCTTCAATTAGTCTATTAAAACATCTAAAATCTTCCAAGAACAATAATTTCTAAAAAACAAACCATTTTTCCTAATGTTTTATCAATCCAATCCAATGCTTCTAATCTCTTATATACCTCTTTGACAAGTCAAATTTACCAATAAACATCCATAAACACTCATATATTAACATCTCATTTAAAACCTGTTTTATAAAATCCCCACTATTTCTTCCCTTTCTTAGCTTTAATCTCATTTAGTGATTCCATAAGCTTATATATTACTTAAGGTTGTAAAAGAAATCCATGATCAACCAGATAAACTAATCAATTGAAACTTACCTTTGGGAGCTATGGAGAAAGCTTATCACGTGAAGGAAGAAGAAGAGGAAAGAGCTTTTGGTTGATATTCACTTTCCCCTTTTTTCCCTTACCTTTTATGTTTTATAGAATAAGAATTTTAAATTCATTTTTCTTTAAAGGACTAAAATGCCCTCTAAACCATCCCTTGTTACAATTTAGTATAATTCACTAATTCAAATCATTCTCATCTTTATCATTTAGTCTAATAAATCCTCAAAAATTTTAAATTCTTTCAATAAAGTCCTTAATTCAAAATTTGGGGTATTACAATTCTCCCATCCTTAAGAAAATTTGTCCTCGAATTTTAAAACTTTATGCTCTTAGAACATTACTTCAACTAAAGAAAATTGTTTTGTTACTCGTTTCCTGAATTTCTCTAATCCAAACATGTATTGTTCTTTTCCATAATTCAACTTTAATCGAATCCCCATTTCCCAAAGTAAGAACATGCAATGGATTCGATTGGTCATTAATAAGCAATGACACATGAAAACATTATAGGTCTTGTCCATTTTAGGAGACAAAAGCTAACTGATAAAATCTATTAAAGTTCACTAATTCTTGAACTAAGTCCAAACCACAAAACAATGCTTTCAGGAAAAGTTTATCGCTTTCTTGCAACTCAACTACTTTTCTCTTTAAATCAGCATAAGACTTTTGTAATTAGCACCACTATAACATCACTCACTATTCAAGCAATGAAATCAAATCTTTTAAAGTACTTGACTACGACCGACTCTAAATCATGTGTAGATAATTCCTATTGTGAGTCTTTAACTTTATTGAGGCATATGTCACAACTTTACCTTTGTGCATAAGCATTCTTCCTAAACCGTTGATATATGCCTTAGTAAAAAACTACATAATCTTTACCCAAATCAAGTTGTATAAATGTTGGTATTCCTGTTACAATCCTCTTTAGTATTTCAAAACTCTCTTGACCATTTTTCATGCTCCCAAAAAGACATATCTTTCCTTAAAACTTGGTTAGCATCAAAGCTAACTTTGAAAAGTTCTTCACTAACTTTAGATAGTAACCAAAAAGCCCCGAATAAGTCTAATTTCAGGATCATTCTTTGGGGAAATTTCTAATTTACTACAACATGAGTTTCTCCTAGAATCTACTCTTATACCTTATACTAAAACAACCGGGCAAATGAAAGTTATCTCTGTTAACCAGAATTTCACATTTGAATATTTTGGCAAACAAGTTCTCTCGAAAAGTCTTATTTAACTGTCAAAATTTATGTATAACCACATAGATTTATCTTTCTTTTCGTTAGTAACACGTATACATCCCTAGATAAAATACTCGAGTTGATAAAACTTTGCTAAATCAACTCTTATAATTGAGTCTCTAATTCTCTTTACTCACTTAAGTCATTTAATACTAAATCATAGAAACATGTTCAATACTTTGATAATTATTAACCTTGAACTCTATCTTTCAATATGGAGGTAACTCAATAAATTTAATTACAAAGACATCTATAAACTCTCAAATTTTTATGAGATTATCAAACAATTCTACATTAATTATTTCAGTATCTATGTCATTAACCATAAAAGCTATATATATATATATATATATATATATATATATATCTTTCTGACATCATTTTCTTTACCATCATTATTGATATCACCTTGAGTGATGATTTTACTTTCTCACTAAAAACTATAATTTCCATAATCTCTACATCTTTCTGAAATAATCTTCTCTAAAGACAAACAACTTATTTCCAATATGATTTTAACT